ACTTTGTATATGAATTATATGTGGTATCTAAGAATATGAAGACTTTTTTCCCTAACTTGGGTTCCTGCACTTCACGTGGGAGACACAAATTGAGTTCCTGGAATTAACAACTTTATCTATAAATGCTAATTTTCAGTGATAGTATAACACATGCCATAAGCTTTTTTATTCCACAGAAGCAAACTCTCAATTTTCATTATATCTTTGAATATAATATCTGATGCATTTTAATATTTCAAAATTTAATTTTAGTTAGGGATTTTATCATTTAATTAGTTGTGATCATTGTTAACCCACAGTGATTTCCAATCCCAAACTGGTAATTTTTCTTATAACTGCTTTCTTCTTCTTTTTTTTTTTTTTTTAAAAGATTCATTTATTTAAAAGGCAGAGTGAGAGTGAGCAGGAGAGAGAAATCCCTCCATTGATTCACTCCCCGGATGACTGCAACACCTGGCCTGGGCTGAAAGGAGAGGCCACCACAGAACACACCAAACACCGGAGTAGGGGAAAGGTTTGCTGTCAGGTAGGGGAGACCCTACAGGCTGCCTCGCCATGCACAAGAGAAACAGCAGCCTGTACTAGGAGAACAGATCTTACATAGCTTAGTAGAGGTAAGAGAGCAGCAAATCCCATTAGTGAGTGGGGTGGAGCTGGCGCTTGTGGTGGGGCCATGTGGCCACCTGACTTCTAGCAAGTCACAGAGCTTATTGTACAGGATGGCGACAGGGCCAGAGCCTAAGCTGGCACCATAGATAAGATGGCGCCGTTTTACTAACATTGGCTGGGCCACCCTGAAACAGGGCAAAAGGAATTCTATCTGGGTCTCCCACCTGAATGGCAGGGACACATGTGCTGGAGTCATGATCTGCTGACTCCCAAGTCTATGCGTAGGGAGCTGGCTCTGAGTCAAGCAGCCAGGACTTGAGCCAGCACTCAGATACGGGACACATGCATCCCAAGACATGGGCTGGCCTCTGTGCCACAACCCTGGCCCCTACGTTCCTCCTTGTATTCCACTTCACTACACTTGAGGGGGTCTTCTCAAGTCTATTCCCCACCCCACAGCTACAAGACTTTTACATGTGGATTGTGAGCTTTGCTCTCTCCACTGTCATCTGAGTAATCTACAGTACCATCATTCTTTTCTTAGTTTTGACATTTATAGGTTTTACTGAATCTTATAATTATTTATTTTTCATAATTTTTTAATTTTTGAAGTAATGAGATTTTCCCTAAAATTTTTAAGATATGTATTTTTGAAGCTATAACATTTTTCTATTTCTTTCAATTTATGTTGGTTTCCTTTCATCACTGATAAAAGATTGTGGTAAGCCCAGAAATAATTTTCTTTTCTGTTTACTCATATTTGGGTGATCTTTTCTTTAAAAAATGTTTTTAAAGGTCTGTTTATTGTTTTGATAGTCACAATGAGAGAGAGAGAGAGAAAGAGAGAGAGAGAGGAGAGGAGGGAGAGAATCTTTCATTTCATCTGTTGGTTCATTCCTTAAATGACCCCACAGGTATAATTGGGCCAAGGCAAAGCCAGGAGCCAGGAAATCCATCCTGGTCTCCCATGTGGGTGGCAGGGGCCAAAGCACTTGGGCCATCTTTTGCTGTCTTCCCAAGTGTATTAATAGGAAAGAGACAGTTTGGGAGCAGAGCAGCCAGGATATGGGATGCTGGCAGCGCAAGCAGCAGCTTAACCAACTTCTGCACCAAAATGTATACCCCTTTAAAATTTTTAAAAATTTTTTATTTATTTGAAAGGTAGAACTACAGAGAGACAGGGATCTTCCATCTGCTGGTTCACTTCCAAAATGGTGCAATAGCCAGGACTGGGCCAGCCTGAAGCCAAGAACCCAGATCTCTCACAGGGGTGTCAGGGACCTTGCTCCTCTAAGGATGTTCCCCAGAAGGAAGCTGGGTCAGAAGCAGGGCAGGACTTAAACCCAGGCACTCCTGTATGAGATGTGGGCATTTCAAACAACATTTTAACCCTGCTGTGCCTCCATACCCACTCCCTGGATGATCTTTCCTTCATCATCATGTGTCCCTCTCCTTCCCCTCTCCCTGCATCTGAATCTCTCAGAACTTAAGCTGGTAGGGAAGCAGCAGGTGTATTGCTGTGAATGTTCAATCTTTCAGTTGCTTGAAATTTGGCTGGAATTGGGGAAGGGTCAGGTAATGTTGAAAATAACTTAGAAGATTATTCATTACATTAAGCCATTCTCTCCAGATCATGCCTATATTTACTAAAGACTGTTGGAGGTTCCTCCTTTACGAAGTAAGACTGCAAGCCCTCTGGTTTGAGTTTGAGATTCTACTTTGAGCTCTAAGTTTTATCCAGTCGAGCTGAATGTGTCTTTCCTTCCTCTGGTCACTTTCTGTGCTGTTTGTCCAGATGTCCCTAAATGACTCAAGTGACTCCTTGGAGATGATGCTCCAGCACTCTGACACTGGCCATAGCCTCCAGATGGCATTTTTCATCTATCTCAGGTAAGAACAAAGTCACCCCAGTATTAATTACCCATGTACATGAAAGAGAGTGGCAGGGCGTGACATCAATGTCTCTCTGTGGATCCTGTAGCTATGACTGCTACTGGACAGGTAAATGGGGACCTGTGCTACAGCCACCTGTGTCATTCCACTGTCTGCTCATTCTTGCTACTCTTGTTCCTGAAATGCTGGGGATGCCAGTGAGTTAGCTTTCTATAATGCCCTTTGGCAATAGTTTAAAATCCCTTATCACACTTCTGGAGAACGGAATTCCATCTCAACATCCAGTATAATTTTTACTTTAATCCTAGTTGTGTTGTTAATATTTTGAAAAGTTTACGATATGAATTTGAGTTAATTTTCTAATATGCATGTTCCTGAATTTTTCTCTTATTCATCTTTTTCCCCCTTTGGATGAATACACATTTATGTCACTAGTTTTAAGTCAGACCAGGAAAAAAGAGGTAGAAGCCAATGAGGCTGATATTCCTGTCCCATATTCAATCATTCTGTGTTGAGAGCCCTGCGTTTCCTAGCAGTAACCTGAGTTCATAATGTGACAAAAGCAGGACCTACTGCTGTCTCCATTCTCATCTCTTACCCTGCACATCTGGGGTTGAGTGTTGCTGCTGTAGGCCCACAGCTGCTTCCTGTAGAGGAGATCATTCTCATCTCTTGCCTTTGACACTGCTCCCATCATCCCTCTTGCTCCTTTGCGTTATGCCTAAAAACTTGGTGAAATTAAATTCAGCAGCCATACCCTCCAGGGGCTTTAACAAATACCCTCCTTGATACCCTCCACCCATGCACACACACACACACACACACACAGGCACCATGCCACCAGTTTGTACATCTGACATTACATCCCAAGCTCCGTATTGGTCATTATACGCATATTTTCTTGTTTCTATTAATACATTGCATAGTAATTAACCTATAATTGAGTTGATTCGTTACCTACACATTGATCAGAAACATTCCTACTCCATTGTTTATTTTTAATTCTTCTCAACTAAAACACCTAAAATTAAAACGAGAGCTGAATGGGAGGAGGAGTGGCTGGGACCAGAACTGGTGCCCATGTGGGATGCTGGCGCTTCAGGCCAGGGCTTTAACTTGCTGTGCCACAGCACTGGCCCCAGGAAAATTCTTACTATGGAAAACTATTCATGGATTTCAAATTTTACACCAAAATAAACTTATATTTAAATCTCAAAAAAAAAAACACTTAAAATGACTGCCTATAATATAATTTATATAGCTTTTAGTAGATCTGAAACAAGCCTCAAAACATTCTTGTAATACTTTTTATTTCCACTTCTCTAGAATCTAGAGAACAATGTATGCTCATCTTATTGATATCCTTTGGATTTTTTGGGGGGTTTTTAAGGGAATTTTTAATTTACAAGTAACTCATTATAATTATTTAAGAAAATACAAGAACATATGAACAAAGCTTATTGATGATGTACGTTTGTAAAAGTATGTTGACAAATACTAAATGTTGTAATTGTATTTTGAACATATTATAAAACACAAAACAACCAATGTTAAATACTGATCTTTCACATCTGAGTTGGAATTAGAAATTGAATATTTCATATCTGGTAGAAAAGAACTTTCAAAGTTTTCTCAATGTTTATAGTACATAGTATTATTCCTCACCAAAACCTTGATGAAATTGAAAACATCGCTCTAAAAGTAGTTATTTTTTCCTTGAATATTCTAAATCTAAAAACTGGCAGTTCAGATTAATCTTCACATTTTCAGGACATGAAAGATACTTAAATAGAGTATCTAAGAATATGCTTTAACACATTTAGGATGTTTGCTTACAGTTGAGACAGAAAAACCTCAACTTTTAGATATCAAAGAAAATATCCTAAGCAAACACAGAAGGTATTTTGGGTCAAGTTATTTCCTAGTATAAACACCACATCATGTAAATCGATTTTTAAACCAAATTCTTAAAAGCATTCCAAAAACAATCACATTTTATAATTGTCAATACGCATTTATGCGGAAGATACAAGAAAACTTAAAAAAACAAACTCAAATTATTCTGATTCCTAAAATAAGAAATCTGCAAATTAATTAATGCTGTTGCTTGAATATGCCTTACTCTTAATTCTCAAATTCATTTAACTGCTTCAAATATAATTTAATACTTAAAAAAACTATAGCTGAATTATTTAATAATATTTATAGAGCATTACTTCTCTGGGTAGACCTGTTTCCTACCAGTACTCAATTAACACTAATAAGAAAAAACTTGATAGTTTTTTTATCGCAATTTATGATTGACTGATTCATGAATAATTTGGTTAGCAATTTAGACCAACAAAAAGAATAATCTGGTGACTGTTCATTGTACAGTTCTGTCCATTAGTAATCCTTAACCAAGAATTTGATAACATGTTCCACTTATTTGGATTATATGTTTTCATATGTGGGATTGGGCAAAAAAAGAGGTACACAGTAGTTATCAAGCTTTTGACTTTTCCTTTTTTTTTTTTTTTTTTTTTAAGAGTAGCTCCATGATTTGGGGGCTGGTTAGTACAATACAGAGAACAAAGAGGAAACATACAAAATGGCACTTACCACCAATGTCAGTGCTCATCTCATTATGGTTATAACCAAGAATATTATTAATTTTTGTGTTACTTGCTTTTCTTTAGCACATAAACCAAAGCCATTAACTTGACTTGAGGTATATATATAATACATACACAAAATACTTTTCATAAGTAATGTTACATTTTAAAATATTGGAAACCTAGAATCTGTGATTTGTAGTTTGACTAAATGGAACAAGAAAATGATAACATTCAACAAGGGAGGTTATACTGATACTAAAGCTCTTAGAAGTTCAAAATGCATTCCTCTCCCTTTGTACTTACCACAGGCTACACAATGTCCTGAGAGCACTCATTATGAGAAAAATGTCAATCACAGCTTTCATAACTTACTTTGGAAGGAATAATGAGAAAGTAAATTGGAAAGTGAGACTTCATCTTTGTTTTCAAACAAGTGGTCTGAATTTTTCTTCTTATAGAAAATGTTTAAATCAGTTTATTATAAATATATCTAAACCATTATATTTTGCAGCTTTCAGGTAAAGTCCAGCACACTGTTTACACAAAGTCTGTAAGACGAGGTCAGTAGAGATCATCTAATCTTAAGTCGGGACATCATCCATTCAAGTCCTTGACATAATCCCTCTCCAGTAAGAGCACAGCAGGCCTGGATATGCCACTGGTGATCTTTGATAGAAGTCAGCTTCAAAAACTGAGAGACTTCTGCTACAGTCATGCATTCTTTAACATCTTGCTTATTAGCAAAAAATCAGCAATCCAGCTTTCCTTAAGTCCTCATGGGCTAACATTTTATAGAGTTCTTCTCTAGTTACAGAAATCCTCTCTCTGTCTGTACTGTCCACAACAACTATTACAAACTCTGTGTTAGTATAGTAAGTGTTCCAGGAAGAACGAAGAGATTCTTGGCCACCAATATCCCACATTAGGAAACGTGTATTATTAACCACTATCTCTTCTACATTACTTCCTATTGTAGGGGATGTGTGTACAACTTCATTCATAGAAAATTGGTAAAGGATGGTAGTTTTCCCAGCATTATCCAGCCCAACAATTATAACTTTGTGCTCCTGGTGATTGAACAGTCTCCATATCCTGGTGAAGAGAATTCCCATTCTCGGGCAGCGGACCCCCTCCAGCCGCCCGGCCGCCTGGCCTCCCCGGGCTCAGGCGGAGGGGCAGAGAGACGCGCTGGAGCCTCCGCCTCTGCTTCTGCTGCTCCCACGCTGGCCGCCGGCCCGCTTCCAGGGAACCGGAGGGAGGCCGAAGCCCAGGCCGTCCTGTAGCGCGCGAGGCCCGGCCGCTGCCGCCGCAGCACTCGCCTGGCTCGCGGACATCGCCGCCGTGTTGTCTGCGACGAGCCTCGCGAGCCACCGTCCTCCCCCAGCTCCTCTCCCGATATCCTTTGGATTTTATAATCCTCAGCTGTTCTAAGTCTTTAGACAGAAATGTTCTAATCAGTGTACCCTCTTCTGGGTTTCCTCTCCACAGCATTTCTCAGACAAGTCACTTTTTCCTCTTCTTTCTCTCTCTTCAGCAACTTTTTTCTCAAATTAGAGGACTTGCTACAGCTCAGGATATCTCACAAATAAAACTATGTAGATTTGTTGCATTTATTTATAAGACACACAAATAATGATATCTTATTTTCAACAATTTTTGTTGACCTGCAGTATTGGGTAGTTTCCAAAAATTATCTTCAGTTACTCTTAAATCTGCTTTCCCTAAGATAAAACCCAATGTTTAGGGCCTGTATTCTTGTAAACTGGTTTAGGTTACTTTTTTGAAGTTTCTTATCTACATTGAAACTGCCTCTTTGCATATCGCAGTCACCATTAAAAGATTTCCCTGGAGTTTATCATTATCAGCTTGGTATTTCACTTGGGAGAACAAATTGGTACTTTAAACTTTGCTATTTCACTGCTTATTCCAATGTCTCTAAATTAAAATATTTAGGGGCTGTCATTGTGGCACAACTGGCTAAGCCGGCATCCCGTATGAGCAGTGGTTGGAGTCCTGGCTGCTGCACTTCTGACCAAGCTCCCTGCTAATGCGCCTGGGAAAGCAGGGGGAGGGATCCTAAGTGCTTGGGTCTCTGTTAACTGTGTAGGAGACCTGGATGGAGTTCCTGGCCCCTGGCTTCAGCCTGGCCCAGTCTCAGCCACTGCAGCCATTGAGTGAATCAGCAGATAGAAGAATTCTCCCTCTCTCTTTCCATGTCTCTCTTATTCAGCTTTTCAATAAATAAATAAATCTTTAAAGAAAAAAGTTAACAAAAATAGGTTGATTCAGCTGTCTATTTAGATTAAATGAATTCATGGAATACATTGCTAAAAATATAGAAATGAGGGATGGGTAGGTTTTATAGAAAACATTAGTTATCTTGTTAGCAATCAGACACTGAACAATCAAACACAGATAAAAGTATCTGATCTACCATGTTAGCAGACAGTTTGTATTCAACCTTATAAATTAGCTTAAATGAACAGTTTTGTGTACAAAGATATCACTGCTAAATTTTTGTCAAGTGGCAATGCTGCTACTGCACCAATGGGACTTTCTTTTTTTATAAAGATTTTATTTACTTGAAAGGCAGAGTTACAGAGGTAGAGAGAGAGAGGTCTTCCATCCGCTGGTCCACTCCCCAGTTGGCTGCCATGGCCACAGCTGCGCCAATTCGAAGCCAGGAGCTTCTTCTGGGTCTCCTACATGGGTACAAGGGCCCAAGCACTTGCGCCATCTTCTACTGCTTTCCCAGGCCATAGCAGAGAGCTGGATCAGAAGTGGAACAGCTGGAACTTGAGCCAGCACCCATATGGGATGCCAGAACTGCAGGCTACAGCTTTACTAGCTACGCCACAGCACCGGCCCAACCAATGGGACTTTCTTTTGAGACCATTAAGCACATACGGTGAGAAGTGTATTTAATTCCAAGTCTTAATTATGCCCTTTGTTCCATAAATGTCTGAAAGAAAAGCTATTCCAGGGTACTTAGGCAACTGAAGTCAACTTTAAAAGTATGCTATTGAGCGTGATGCTATTATTAGAATTTACTTAGTGTGGATCCCTCACTGTGAAATTCAATAGGAGAGTTGAGTACTATAATGCAGAATTACATAAAATAAAAATTATGATGTTTTAGCAGTTATAGGTAACAGAGACCCCTTTTAGTTTGGAAGGTATGGGAAAGAGATCAAATAAAAGTACCATGTTATTCTCCTTTGTTCTCTTTTTCTTCTAAAAATACAACCGCACACATATCACAACTTTTCATAGGGTCTCATGTGCATTTCTTCCTATACCTTATCTTTTACTTCTCAACACTTAATTCTAGGTATTATCTTCCAAACTAACTTTGAGTTTATAAAGTCTCTCTGTATTTGTGCTTAATGTGCTGCTAAAGCTATGCGTGACTTTCAGCCATGATGCATGGGATTTTCCATTTTGTTCTTTAATTCCTTGAATATATTAACTATAGTTATACTAAGGCCCATGGCTAAGGATTTCATTACTTATGTCTCCTAGGAGTCTCCATTTTTTCCTCCTCTAAGCACATTTTTTTTCACTTGGCTTTTGTTGAACTTTGGCTTCTTACCTGTGTGGTTAATTTGATTAGTGCCAGGTGTTTTTTATGAAGAAGGCAGGTGTAATGTCACATTCCTGCAGAAAGGGTTTGCACTTGACCGTGTCAGGCAGCTGAGCTAAGTTCTGGGCAGCAAAGATCACCATATCTGATCAGGGCTGAAATTCTGTAAATGTGGAATTTGTGAAAGGTAGTTGGCTGCTTATTTTAATGCAAGTACCTTTGGGATGTCAGTGAAATATATGAAATGTGAACAGTACCTGTTCAGTTTCTCAAGTCCACAGTGCTATTACTCTGCTGAAACTTTTGCTTAGATTCTTCAACTGTCACTCATAGTTTTCAAGATTAGTTTCCAGAAAAAAAAGTAGCATTACCAGGATTTGGGAATATATCTGAAGGCCCTTCTTTCTCTGCCTATCTGTTACATGCACTCCCTTTATTGGAAACAACTCATTATCTCCACATAGATGTTCTACAGATGTTTCCAGAAAAATGTTTTGAGCCAAAGAATCTTATCTTAATTCATTAATACTGGAAATGGAGCTAGAATCTGAATTTTAAATATCATGATTTTTTGGACTCTATTTACTACTGTTATTGCTTTTGATAACTTCATTGTTGTTATTATATTTGTTTCCAATAATTTAAGGTAGATACAAGCTAGTATCACATATTAAGCAATTTATCCATGTTAGAAGGCCTTGAACTAAGAGACCCCATGTAGCATTATTTTATTCTGAAATTAAACACACACACACACACACACACACTCATACACATATAAATTTTTCTTCTCTCACTCTGAATAAAACTCAGTAACAAGTTTACCATAAACCATTGCCTTGCTTTCACTGAGACAAAAACTAAATTCCTTTATTCATAATTTAATGGAAATTGTTTCTCAAACTCAAAGCCTGACATATTTCTTTTTAAAAATATTTACTTATTTGAAAGTCAGAGTTACACAGAGGGACAGAGGGAGAGAGAGAGACCTTCCATCCGCTGGTTCACTCTCCAGATGGCCTCACGGGCCAGGGCTGGACCTATCTGAAGCCAGGAGCCAGGAACGACCTCCAGGTCTCCCATGTGGGTGCAGGGGCCCAGGCACTGGGCCATTTTACCACTGCTTTCCCAAGCGTATTGGCAGGGAGCTGAATCAGAAGAGGAGCAGCCGAGACTGGAATCAGGCCCATATGGGATGCTAGCACTGTAGCCAGCGACTTGCCAGCTATGCCACTATGCCGTTCTGACATAATGCTTAATTATCTGCCTTTCTATCCGTGTTAAATCTTCTCCATGTCTTACAATTAAAGAAGTCTCTGCTACACCTACTAAAACATCCTGATTTTTATTCTATGTAATTCTGCATTATAGTACTCAGCTTTCTTACTAAATTCCTCAGAATAAGAGAATTTATTTACACTAAGTAAATAATAAGTAGGAATTTATTTGCAGTAAGTAAATCCTAATTTTTCAGCAATAAAATAATGATGCTTGTCATGTAAAGCTGGTGAGTCTAGTCAGGTATAATTAAACTTTAGGGAAAACATAGAAGCTAACACTTGCTGAAGTGTTTTCAGACTGTCTCCCTATGCAATGAGACGTTATGAGTAACTTGGAACAAAGACCTTTTGCATTATTAGAATTGCGCCTTGGACGGTTGCCCTCCTAATGTTTTCTTTTCTTCCATTTTTTTATTCATATAAAGTGAACACATTTCGTATATTTCATATTTACAGATTTAGGAGCATAGTGGTTCTTCCCAACCTGTCCTCCCTCCAGCCCACGCTCCCACCCTCTCTCCTCCTTCTTTTCTTTTTCTTTCTTTTAATTGTCACAATGGCCTACTTTCAGTATATTTTACAATGGCCTACTTTCAGTTTATTTTATAATCATAAGCTTAACCTTAAAGCTTAGCTAAGTAAAGAATTCAACATAAAAACAAGAAGAAGAAAAAACAGTAGAGACAAGGGCTGCACACAATCAAATCTCTGATTTTCATAATTTTTTGTTAGAATCAACTAACATGAGGGCCAAGGAAATAAATGACTGAGTTTGGGGCAAGACTTTTGTGGGTGAAATGAAAGGAGTAGAAAGCAATCTTGCCGGCGGGGCGGCTCAATAGACTAATCTTCCGCCTGCAGCACCGGCACACCGGGTTCTAGTCCCAGTTAGGGCTCTGGATTCTGTCCCGGTTGCCCCTCTTCCAGTCCAGCTCTCTGCTGTGGCCCGGTAGTGCAGTGGAGGATGGCCCAAGTACTTGGGCCCTGCACCTGCATGGGAGACCAGGAGAAGCACCTGGCTCCTGGCTTTGGATCAGCTCTGTGCGCCGGCTGCAGCGCGCAGGCTGTGGCAGCCATTGGAGGGAAAGGAAGACCTTTCTCTCTGTCTCTCTCTCTCTCACTGTCCACTCTGTCTGTCAAAAAAATAAATAAATAAAAATAAAAAAGAAAGCAATCTTCAGTGAATCCAGAGTAGAGTTGTTGACTCAGAGAGACTTTTCATCCTTGCTTTCCACTTCTAAACATAAAAAGCAATGATATCACATCTGATCTGAACTAATTTGTCAGCAAAACTTGACCCAGACCGACCTGAGACTAACCCTTCTGTATCCTATTCATGCAGTCTTACTGTACTCAAAATAGCTAATGATCTGTTCGGCTAAAGTGCTCTCAGAGAGGTGAGGCGTCATTAACAGCCTGTGTATCATGTCGCCTGTCTACATGCTGCAGAAACTGGAGTTGCACAAAAGGTTTGATCACACATATTTTGGATAAGGAGTTGTGAACTCTTAGAAGATTGAAGTG